CCCCCCCCCCCCCCCAGTGCCCCTCAGACAGGGTTTGAATGGCACTTTGACTCCGAGGGGCAGCACCATACCTAGACCCCTGGCGCTCCCCTTTGCCAGAGAGAAATGATCATAATCATTTAAAAATGACCGTTTCATAGATTTCATAGACATTTGGGGCTGAAAGGGACCTCATGAGATCATTGGGTCCAGCCTGATGATTTCTGTGCCCCCTGCCTAGGGTGGCCATCGAGGTACCTCAGCTGTCCCCACCACCACGAATGTCACATGCCTCCCACGGCTGGGGGGTCGTGACGAGCTCCCACATGCGGCGGGAGTGGGGAGCTCCTTCAGGCAGCCACAGCGGTGTTGGCGACAGGGGATGGGGTGTGCCAAGCAGTGAGAAATAGAGGACATAAAGACATGCGGTTTCATATCGATAGAGGACAGAGGACCAGAAAACCAGACTATCTATAAAACTGGATGAATGGCCACCCTAGTCCGGTCCAAAAAATTGGACTGCCCATCATGATGCCCTAATAAAATCAGAGACCCACTCCCAAGTTATGGTTTTCAAATCTTACGGGGGGCTGTCCTTTCATATGGAGGGCTCAGCCTCCTCCCCTCCAGCTCCCCCATAATTTGAACCCGGCCCTCAGACCTGAAGGGTCTTTCCAAGAGATGGTGGACTCTCCATCCTTGGAGGTTTTTAAGATATGGCTAGACAAAACATTGTCTGGGATGATCTAGTTGGGGATGGTCCTGCTTTGAGCAGGGGTTGGATTAGATTAGTGGTTCTCAACTGTTTTTGTACCAGGGCCCATTTGTAAACATGGATGGGCAGTCCCAACCCAGTGCCCCCCACTCCCAACCAGCTGTCCCCTGCCCCCAGCCTCCCAGTGTGTGTATGTGTGTGTGTGTTGTGGGGGGCAAGCAGCCCCTCAGACAGGAACTCAGCCAGCCTGCAAGGGGAAAGCCACAGTTTCTCACATTTTTCTTCTTTAAAGGAGAATCCATTTTAAAGTTTGTTGATCCATTTTTAGAGTTTCTTCGCAACCCTTTCATATATTTTCATGCCCCACTTTTGGGTTACGACACACAGGTTGAGAAACATTAGACTAGATGGCCTCCTGAGGCCCCTTCCAACCCTCATTGTCTCTGATTCCTTACCTGCTGAGACCCAGAGGTAGGACACAGCAGAACTAGGACCTATCAAGGCCTTGGAAGCAACAGCACTGAGTGGGCCCCTTCTCCAGTCCCAGACAAGGCTTGGCTGCTTGCTCCACACTGAGTGGCTTTGCGGAAGGAAGCGATAGGCTCATGGTGTGGCTGTAGGGCTGGAGCCAGACCTCCGGTGGTTCCTCTCCAGGAGTGTTAGAACTTGGGGCTAAGCCCTGACTGGGCACCCAGGGTGCCAGGGGTTGAAGGGGTTTGCTTTAAAAGCCAGGAGCAATTGAGTTTGAGGAGACTGTTCATTCTGCTCAAACAGCCATTTGGTTTGTAAATAGTTGGCTCTGCAGGTGCATGGGTGGCAAACCTGAGTCTCAGAGTTGACATCAGAAGGGCTGGGAGCCTACAGACCTGCCAGAAGCATGTCCTCCAGCTCCATGGGCAAGAATGGTCATTAATCCCTGCCCTCTTCCCAGGGACAGGATTATTCTGGGCCCCAGAATAATTCTGAATTGAGACAAGGAAAAATACTTCTCCCCTCTGAAAAGGAAAGGCCCCTGTCCCATGTATTTCTTCCATTCCATTCAGCACTGGTGAGGCCTCCCCTGGAGTACTGCGTTCCCTTTTAGGCTCCACACTTCACTTCAAGAAAGATGTGGACAGTTTGGAAAGAGTCCAGTACAGAGCAACACAAATGATTGGGGGTCTGGGAGACAAGACTTATGAGGAAAGCCTGAAAGAGCTAAGGTTATCTGGTCTGGAGAAAAGACGACTTCAGGGGGATTGGATAACAGTCTTCAAATACCTCAAGAGTAATTATAAAAAGGATGGAGATGGGCTTTTTCTCTGTGGCCATAGGGGACAGAACCAGGAGCAATGACCTCAAGCTCCAACTGGGGAAATTTAGGTTGGAGATTAGGAAGAACTTCCTAAATATGGGGGTGGTCAAGCATTGGAACAACCTACCTACCTAGTGAAATTGTAGAATTTCTATCCTTAGAAGTTTTCAAGAGTGGGTTAGACAGACACTTGGAGGAGACGGTGTAGTCAGAAATGAAACTTCCTTGAGCAGGGGCTGGACTAGATGACTTCCTGAGGTCCCTTTCAGCCCTACTTTCCTATGATTTTAAGTTTTGGGATCACACTTGCCTTTCTTAAAGTCAGAGTTTACCTGTTGTCCATGGTAGGAGGAGAAGCTGGCTCTGACATCCTTAAGTTTGGCCTTTCTCTGACAGATTTACTGACCCTGATTCGGCTCTCTTTGGAGTGTGGTGGTGGGCAGGAGTACTTTTCCTTGTCTCAGTTCAGAATTATTCTGGGACCCAGTTTATAATGATGATCCAGTTTATAATGATGATTCTCTGATCCATAATTTCAGTAAACTAATGCATTTCACTATGTTTCTATACATTTTACCATTAAGGACTTTAAATTATTTTATGTATTTTATATATTTAGAGCCTGATCTATCAGTCCTTACTGAAGCAAAACTATTTAATGGCATTAAGATCTGCAGTCTCTTTCCCCTGCCATGTAGTAAGTCCTTTGAATTCCTTACTACAAACATCATAATGACTTCGGCTAATTGATTATTGCCCATTACAAAAAGACCACACCTGGTTAGCTATACTCACCTTATGTATGAAATGTGATGCTATAAGGGGAACATTCTTCTGCACAAAACACTTTACTGTGTATTAGACTAATCTAACACACAGTAAAGCATTACTGTCTATGCATGTGTGGGATTTACTGAGCAGTAAATTAGGCTAATGCGCTGTTTGCTAGTACCAAGAAATACAGGTACTAGATTAACTGTGCATTAGCTGTTGTGCAGAAGCACATGTGTAGATGCTGACCAGGAACAATTTGCTCCTGGTCAGCCTAGGCAGCAGGGGGCCACAGGGGCTAGAAGTGTGAGAGCTGTCCATGGCTCTGGTGCAGAGCTTGGGATGGCAGCCCAGCTCAGTGGCACTGGCTTGGGGCAGTGTGCCATGGCCGAGTAGCAGCAGCACCCTGAACTATCCCCTTGCTTTGCTTGCTGAGGGGATGGGGGAGCTCTCTGTTCCTACAGCAACAAGCCAGGAACAGAGAGCTTTCCTGTCCCCTCAGCCTCTGCCCACACAGTGCATGCCCCAGTCGTATCCTGTTCCCCGTCCATGCCTGTGGGGAGCTGGGAGCTGAGCAGCTCTGGGACTGGGGGGAGCCACAGGGTGGGCAGTAAGTGGTAAGCAGCACTGGGACTGGGGGGGTAAGCAGTGCCAGGACCAGGGTGCAGAGAGACAGTCCTGGTGCTGTTCAGCTCTTGGCTCCTCCAGGCATGGGCAGGGAGGGGGAGCCAACTGGGACATGTGCTGCATGGGCAGCAACATGACTGAGGGGACAGGGAAGCTTTCTGTCACTGGCCCAGCACTGCAGGGACAGGCAACTCCCCCATCCCTTCAGCAAGCAAAGTGAAGGGATCGCTCAGGGCGCTGCTGCCACTTGGCTACTGGGCATCACCCATGCTTTGTCTTTGTGACAGTATGGTAACTGCATCATTGATGAGTTCAGTCTTCTATTGGGATTTAGGGAAGACTTTTCCCCCAGCTAGGATTTGGTAGCAGGAAGGTGGACAGATGAACATAATTTTTGTCAGGACTAATATGAGCAGTGTAATATGCTCACTGAATGTGGGATATTTTGTGATCTATTCAAGTTCTTGTACCATGCCCATCACTATAGCATCATGGTTCCTGACTTGGAGTGAAGGGACCTCACTTCTGATCCCGGCTTTGTGAATTTTGGGCACATCACTCCACCTCTCTATGCTTCAGCTTTCCTGCATGCGAAGATGGGGTGGTAAATATCTCCTGCCTGCCTTAATAGAGAGATTACTGTAGTTAGATTAATTTCTTAAAGTGTATGAATTGCTGTTGTAATGCTGAGTAGTGGTATTTTTTTGGTTTCCAGATACCCATGGAAAATGCCAAACACAGCATAACAATAATATTCACTCTGCCTAAATCTTTCTTCACCTCAAGCTATTAGGAGTCTGGTGAGGACCAGAAAATATTGTGCAAATATTAAGATTCTTGGATCAACATTGTCAAGAACAATGTTTTTGTCAGTATTGGATGTTGATAGTGGACGCTTTCTTTTTTGAATGACCAGCCTGAGACATCTTGGGTTGGATTTTCAGATGTCCTTAATACCTCCAGCTCCATTAGAAATCAAGAGGTCAGTAGCCCTCCAGAATGGCAGGGATACTTGGCTCCTGTTCCTTCCCTCGATTAAAAATCAAGAGCTCAGTACTTCTGAAGTTTTCTCAAGTTAAACCAGTACAGATTAGCACAAAGAATCAGAAAGTCATTACTGGCTCCCTGATAGGACTCCTTCAGGGCCAATCTACTCTTAGGGTACATCTACACATTGCCCTATGGCAACCTTGTTACTGTGCTGTGCTTTAGTACTTTCAAAAGTACTAAAGCATGGTGCAGTAACCGCCTGTACTACGTTGTACACATGGTGCAAGATTATTTTTAGCAGCTACTTTGCCGTAGTGGCCCACCATAAAAGGGGAGCGTGCCACTATGGTGAAGTAGCTGCTAGTCATGTGTAGACACCCATGGATGCTGCATTGCCTTAGTGTATCACTATGGTGATGTAGCATCATATGTAGATGCACCCTTAGTGTAGGAGTGAAGTCTAGGCCATTATACATGTCCATGCCACCAGTTACAGCATGGAAAAAACACACTAAAAAAACCCATGCTAGGAACTTGAACTCATAAATAAGGCACTATCATGATACCATCACACAGGGAACATTATTGGCTTTGTGGTAAGTTTAATGCATTTAAATAGTCACAAGATAATTACATAGAAGTGTTGATCAGAATTAATGTTATGGTTTTTTCAGACCATATTTGGTGCCAGTCTCTGTTTCCTATTATGTACCAGTCTAAGAGAGCAGAACTTTGCCCTGAGGTTTGATAAACTAAAGGTTTTATTCCATTTAGTAAAGTCATATTATTACATGGTGCTCAAAGAACTGCTATTCTGTGAAGTACTTCACTGCTCATTATCTTACCCACATTGTAGAGAGAAAGAGCCTCTGAAATTAGATTCTGGAGAGCAATTTAAAATCACGCAATGAAATCATTCAGGCCAACACTTGAAAGGTTTTAGTTCTCGGAGGGAGCGAGGTCCTTATGACAACTTTGGTGTTTGTAATTTCATTACTGAATAATTAAATAACGAAACTTGGCCCTTTCCACTGTTTTACACTACATCTGTTTTGGCTTGTTTACAGAACGTGGAATAAATGAAGCCTTGTTCTGTGAGGCCTGGAAGGGTTAGTTGAAGCAGCCTGCACTATGGAGTTGTAATTAGGAATGAATTCCCTATATTTTTAAGGACCTGTAAGGGTATGCCTTTCACTTGCAGTCTAAACTTCTCCTCTTGCACCAGTGGCACCAGAAACCTGGAGAGTCATGTGCTGTAGGTTAGCCTGCTGGTTATGCATGTAACAAAGCCCAGGAGATGGCATGCTTTCCTGAGTCACAACTAATCTGTTGAGAGCACAATGCCCCCTCTCTGCAGAGAAGTAGGGAATGCTGCAATCCAGTCTACAACAGTGGGTCTTCCACACAACACAACTGTGAGCTAAATATGCTCACCTTACCCGAACAGTCCTAATAACTCCTCTGTTGAAGAGGTCATTGGCTGAAATCAACAGAGCTCTGTGTAGATTCAAGGGTTTGATCTTGGAGACCTGACTGCAGCAACTGCACCAAAGTGAGTAGGTTTCGGCCCAAAACGAGTATCTCTGCTGGGAGAATGGAAACTTATGAGGCATAAAGGACCTTGGGTAGGTACTGCCTTTTGGTTCCATACAGCTCTCAGCCAGATGGGAAGCCCCAGTCCATGCCCTGTAAGTGCTACCATAGAACTACAAGAATTTTTTTATATAAATTATAATAAAGACAAGCAGAAAGTGGCCCGGCATGAATGACATTCAGGACAGTTTAGCATCCCTTCAGCCCAGACTTTGGGCCTCCAGCTCTGCAAACACCTTAGCTTAACCCTCCTTGGCTTGCCTTGTCTCTTCCTGCCACACCCTTTGATGATTTAAATAGGTGTATCTATTTTTTAGCTGCCCTTCACTGAAAAGGAATGCAGCATGGCTGCAATTTTGGTGTGGTGTAATTACTGTGCGTGTCTCCCCTCATTATATCTGACATCACTGTGTTCATTTGCCTGTTTATAGATGGATATGTATTGTCTTTGAGTTTTTTTCTGAAAGTGCTGGGAAGATGTGAGGTGTTTGCTGGTTTCATGGAAGCTCGCTTTGGTTTCAGGGTGGAAAGGAATGAGGGCTCTTGCTTAGTAACAACTGGGGAAACCTGAGCTACAAGTAAAATAAAGGAAAAAGTCAGGCAATAAGTTTGACTGAGCAAATCATGGTTGGAGCCAAGCTCTTTTTATTAGGTTATAAATGTGAAATAGCTTGAAAGAATGACTGCATGGTAAAGCTCTCATAGTATCATTATGCCTCTGTCAGGATCCCTCACACTTCATCCCCAGGTGTGTAACTCAGGGGAAACCTGTCATAGCAAATAACTGGAGTTAGAACTTAGCACCAGGGAAGGATCTGAGAGGCCAAAATTTAGTTGTGTGTTGTTACATAATGTGCTGGTTTGCAAGGTGGAGAAGATAAGGGAAACATAGTTTCCTCTTCTCTTGTGTCTTTGTGCTGGTAATGGCTCCAGTCAACAAGGAATTAGTGCTGTGGCAGTGCCACAGTCCCCCCAGAAAGAAAGGGCTTTGGTGAGGCCATTGTCTTGCCATCCAATAGTGCAGAACACCATGCTGACACAAAGTTTTCCTAGCGTGTCTGGGCAGGGGTGGATCCAGGGGTGGGGTGGGAAGGTGGGGGTGCAGTGCTGCAGCTGAATCCCACTTTGGTTCCTACTCCACCCAGCGTTTAAACTGAACAGCCTGGCAGTGACAGCAGGGAAAGAGTCAATTGACTTCATGGCTCATTGTAATCTACCCGATTCCTTCTAAACTGTTAATTCCACAGGTTCTAAGACCCTCTCCTTTTTAACGGTCTTGATGTTCTACTAATCAAGATAGCCTTTCTTCTGCAATTCTGTCAGCTGTTCCTGGCAATGTAGCTTCTGTTTCACAGCCCTCCAGACCGTTTTTAACTCTAACTTAAAACATTAATTCAGGTATGGAAATAACTGTCAGTGAAGCACTGGAGGCACTGTTCAGATGCTCAAGAAGGCTAGAATTTGTCTTATGAATCTGAAAAAGATGTATGTTTAATTCTAATAACTACAGGACTAACTACAGGACTAATGAATCAATATGTTTGGAGTATTTTTGCCTAGGTTGTTGTATTTGTATATATATCTGATATAGAAAATTAATGCACTGCCTAATAGAGATGTACTTGTTTTTGCTTCAATCTTAAACTGAATAATATAGCCCTTGGGTTTTTAGGAAAGCTTCTAGTTTCCTTTTCATTGGAGAAAAATGTATTGTGTTATATGATACCCCACACCATCTGCAACTCCCTTTTCAGAATCTTACATCTGCCCATGTCTGTGGGTCCTGACTCTTTCATCATATATGGTGGATAGTACAAGGTCCTGTTATGCCAGGATGCTGAAGGTCGTCACACCCCCTGTAGGACACAGCATACTAGAAGTCCACAAGCACCTGTGAAAATGCCGCTCCAATACTGTCAGTGCTGCAAATGCCTGTGCTCTTGCACAGTATTTATTGAGAAGAATGTTCCCACATATCACGTTTAGATATCATGGGAACTCCTCCCATCATATGTGCATCTGCCCATACACACCCCCAAACAGCAGAACAATTTTGGAAGAAGGACAGCGACTGTCTGTAAGAAGAGAATAGGAGATGCTCTGGCTTTAATAGCTTTTTCATATACTAGGCTGGACAAGGGAGTACATGGATACAAAATAGTCCACAGGTAAGAGATTTATTTATAATGAGCTACTTGTTCAGCATTAGTTGGCAATGTATTTGCTATGTTAGTGAAAACTTTTTGCCTTGATTACAAAAAGCCAGAAGTAGTAGCAGGGTTTCCAGTATGTTGTGAGCAGCATAGACTATAAATGAGCTTTCTGATCTTCTGTTTTCTTTAATTTATAGGTTTCAAAGCCAAAAGGGACCACTGGATTCTCCAATATAGCCTGCTGTATAACATGGGCCAGGGAATTTCATTCAGTTACTTCTGTATTGAGCCCCATAACTTATGTTGATAATAGTATTTCTTTCTGAAAGGCATCCAGTGTTGATCTGAGGATTTCAACAGCAGAACAGTTCACTGTGAACTGGTATGATGGACCTGAGTGAAATGTTTGTCTTCAGTAGTGCTCATTCACATCTGTTTCTGAGCCTGGAGTCAGTAGAGGGGTGGTGAACTCTCTGGGGGGCTGCATCCTGCTGTAAAGTTTCTGTTTTCCACCAGACCTGAATAACAGCAAGGTTCTGCTATAGAAGGATGGCCCATTTATCATGTTACCCATTCCTTTGTAACTTTTGCATTGTAGTAGTACCTCTGGGGTGCATACTGACATGATGAATCCTCATGTTCAAGGTGTACAACTAAGTGTTACTAAGTATGAAACATAAAACGATAGAGTCAGAGTTGGAAGGGACCTCAAAGGTTACTTAGCCAACCCCCCAGCGCAAATACAGGATGTGCTAGTCTGTTTCAAAACCTTTTCTGGAGGAGGTTCCTTAGCTTCCCTAAGTTGCCTTTATTACTGTACTTAGATAGGAAGTTCTTCCCGAGATTTAATCTGAATCTGCTCTGCTGTCATGTAAACCCGTTGCCTTGTGGCCTGCCCTCTCTGGCAAGGCAGAACAATATTTCTCCAACAGTTTTTGGCAGCCTTTCAAATATTTGAAGACTGCTATCTAATATTTGAAGCCGTGCAAATATTTGAAGACCCATAATCTCCTTTTCTCCTGACTAACCATATCTAGATCTCTCCATCATTCCTTATACGGCTTGCCTTCTAAAACCTTTGTTATCTTTGTTGCTTATCTCTGGATGCTTCATGGTCTCTATATCCTTCTTAAACTGTGGTGCTTAGAATTTGACACAATACTCTGGCTGAGGCCCAACTAGCACCAAGTAGAGTAGTATTATTACCTCCCATGTTTTGCATATAATACTTTTGCTTTGTTATTTTTTTGTAACAGCATCACATGGCCAACTCATGTTCATCTTGTGATTGACCATAACTGCAGCTCTTTTGTGGGTATGCCACTGCCTAGCTAGTTATCCCCAATTTTGTACATTTGCATTTGACTTTCTTTCTCTTGTGTGTCACACCTTACACTTGCCTTTGTTGAATTTCATCTAGTAATTGATAGCCCAGTTCTCCATTTTGGCAAGATTCCTTTGAACTTTAAATCTGTTCTCCAAAGTGTTGGCAACCTCCCACCCAGTTTTGTATCAGTCTGTACCAAAGTCATTAATAAAGATGTTAAACATCACTGGGCCCCGAAAACAAATCCCTGTGGAATTCCACTTTGAGACTTCCTGCCTTTACAACACGGATCCATTCACAGTTTCTCTTTGCTCATGGTTATTCAACCCTGAACATATCTACTTCACAATAATTTTTTCAAGCCCACATTTCTACAATTTACTCATAAGGATCTGGATCCTTCTTCTGGATCTTGATTCACATATTCACACTCTCTTTTTGTGTGATACTGTACCAAAAGACAAAAGTCTGTATATTATGACCACTGCATTCCTCTCTGCATCTGTCAAGATGTTGGATGGTCATTCATTCATGCATTCCCCTCACCCACTTAACTAGTTATTCTGTCAAAGAACAAAATCAAGTTGGTTGGGTATGATTTATCCATAATAAATTCATGCAGGCTCCTAGTGATCATCCCTTTGTCTTTCAGGTCTTCACGAATAGACTGTGTTATAATTTGCTCTTGGAAGATGGGCTGACTGGTTTATAAATGCATTGTTTTCTTTGTGGCCCTTTTTAAAGATGAGCACTAGGTTAGCCTTTCTTCAGTCCTCTGGGATTTCACCTGCCATCCATGACTTTGTAAATATTATTACCAATAGCTCTGGGATTTTTACAGCCAGTTTCTGAAGCATCCTGGGATAAATGTCACCAGGGCTTGCTAATTTAAATGGATTCAAACTTGTCAAAAGTTCTTTATTTATTATGATTTGAAGCCCTTTCCCTTCGTTGTTTAAATTCATTTTGTTAGTTGTCTGATTGGAGGGGGGAGGATGCTTTGTTTTCTTTTTTAAAAGTAGTCAGGTGCCAGCTCTGCTTTCTTTGTATCTTCCATTAATAGCATACCCACACCATTGAACATTGGATCTACAGTTTCCCTAGTCTTTCTTTTCTGTCTGACCTTCCTTGCCAGTTGCATCTCATTTTTCACCTTTGCTTTCCTGATTTTGTCCTTATATATTTTGCTATATCCCTTGGTATACTTCCTTAGTGACTCACCCTGGGCCTTTTTCTCCTTTCACCTATTAGGATAAAACTGGTTAAGACAATCCCTTAGGAACTGCCATTCCTGATCTGGCCCAGGGTCCATGTGACAGGGACAAGCTATTTCAGAGAAAGTCTTATTAACTACATGATTGCATATTTCATACAATAACAGCATGGAAGTGAGCATTCTGGAGGAAGGACTGCATTTGGCTTTGAGAGAAGAGTTGAAGTGTTGTATTTTTCTCTAGAGATCTGGTTGTAATAGTCCAGGATATAGTCTGGGTTCATCAGATTTTGTGTGTCAATGCTAAAGTGGATTAGGGTGGTAACTGCTCCACATGTCACATACCATTTGCTATGTTCATAGATAACACACTCCCACTCCCTCCTACATGGTATACATGATAGAGTGTCAGTACAAAGAGGACAGGAAGGGCATGGCTGTGTATTTTCACATTACTTCTATTCCTTTTTCACAGATGGATGAAAGAACCCTGGATCTATGCAGCAGCAGCCTTTTGGCTTATTTTTCCTTTTTTGGTTGACATTTTACTGAGCATTTTATTATTTTAGATAAAAATCATCTTTAATTTAAAACTGTGAGATAGTTCTTATTGCTCACTGAAAGGTTTTGTTCTGGATCTCGATTCACATATTTACACTCTCTTTATGTGCATGATGGAAATCAGTCCTCTGGACCTCTCACTAACTGGGACCAAACAAATTCTTGTTTCAAAAAAATGGGTCTGGTGGGTAAATCATTTATTGTCACACATGACTGCTATTAATCCCTGGTTAGGATGTCCTTTTGTGTTATAGAATATTTATTTTATTCTGTACCTTGTGTAGTAAATGGAAGACAGCATCTTGAACCACAGATATATCCATACAAGCACATCAGAAATGGGATGAGCTGCTGATCGAATACTAATAATGAGCAAGGGATTTTATATCTTCAGAGCTCTCCCACACCAACCTTCACCACTTTAAATACATGAGGCAGGTAGATTTAAGTCGCAAAGGCCTGATGGGAACTCAGAGATCCAGAGATGATGAAATAAGTAACTGTGGCTTCAAGGATGGTTTACCACAGTAAGTTTTATTTGGAGTTCCTTTAAAGAGTACTGTGTTATCACAATTTCATCACCATTATCATCATATTTGATGCTCTTTTTAAAGCCTCATTTCAGGTGTCATGCCATTTCATAAGACACTTATTTTTTTTTCCAAATTTTCTTCCAATTTTTTTTCCAAATTTTTTCCAAAAAAGGGATTTTTTGCTACTGTGGACGTAGAGAAAACTCTGAAAATATAATTATCTAATGGCTCAAAAATGGAAAGCAAGTAAAAAGAATGCAATATTTATAGGGTTTTTTAAAAATATGATATTTCAAGCTTATGAATCTTATGAATTCCCATGGCCTGACCCATGTTTCTGAAAGCCTGGTTTTGGCAATACAGTATTATAGCTATTATGAAACATGGAAGATTCATGGCTCAAGGGCTTTTGCGAGAGGTAGTTAGAAGTGTTAGTCTGAAGCCAGTCAGAAGGCAGGGTAGATATGCACCTTTATAGATTAACTAAATAATCTATATTTATTGATTTAGTTAATCTATAAAGGTGCATATCTACCCTGCCTTCTGACTGGATTCAGACTAAGGGACCATATATTAACTATAAATATATATATTAAAAGGATAGAGTCAGAGTTGGAAGGTTAAGAGTTGAGAGTTAATACATATTAACTGTGTGTGTGTGTGTGTGTATATATATATATATATATATATAGTTAATCTATAAAGGTGCATATCTATCCTGCATATATATCTATATATAGAGAGAGACATATATATATATCTGTGTGTGTATGTGTGCATGTGTGTGTGTACACACACACACACACACATATGCACAAGATTTCAGGAACCCAAATTCATCACCAAATGCTGTGGGCTTTTGTACATAAGTATTGGTGATGCCTACATGTTGCACTCTTCATTGGCTGCCTTTTGTCCCCTGAGTGCACTAAAAGGTCTTACTACTGAGTGGATTCATATTAAATTACTACAGGGTCACTCTACTTGAAAGAGACTTCCTAGAAATCTGAGGAAACAGGGCTGCAAGAGGCCTTGAGGCATTCTTGAATCCAAGGTCTGGCAACCTATGGCCACTGGCAGGATCCAGCTCACCGAGTGATTTGATCTAAACCAGGGTTTCCCGAAGTTTTTATGCCACAGCCTGACAAACTGTGGTCTAGAAGTGGCTGTGGCCCAGCAAACCATGGCCCAGCTGTCACAGCTGAACGCGGCCAGAATTTCTGTCCAGAAGACAGGTAAGGATACCCCCACCCTCCGGGGGGAGGGGTGGGCCAAACCCTGCACTGCCACAGACCCTGTAGAAGGAACTGTGGCCTCTCTGTCCGGCTCTAGGGGGCCATGGCTTCCCGGTCCATGGCCACTTCTGGTCCGGCAGCCGACCTGCACTGGGCTGCAGCCTGGAGATTGAGAACCTGGATCTAGCCCATGAAGCCAGATGTCAGCAATGATTTGACAGTGGTTCAGCACTGCAGGGGGTGAATGGAGTGGAAGCAGGACTGCGGTGAGGGGCAGAATGGGGGGGAGGGGGGGGTCACAATGGCAGCTGGGTCAGAAGCAGAACCCTGTCCTTGGACTGAGCTCTGCTAAAGCAGCCTAATGCTCATAAATGGTTGCTGAGCCCTGATCTAGTCCATCCTCCTATTTCAAGGCAGGATCAACTATCCTAAGCCTTTCCTGACAGATGGTTCTCCGACATGTTTTCTCTTCCCATTACTTTGTGTTTCCCTTTACAAAAACTATAAATGAATGAACTGAAGCTACTGAGAATCTCGAAAGCATTGGAACGGCTGCTTCATTGTAGACCCACATGTGTGCAATGTGTTTTCATCAAAACAAATACCAATGTGAATTTGAGACATTTTGATGTGGAGCATAATTGTGAGGTCTGGTTTGGCACATGAATGAGAGCTGGTTTGGAACTTTTTGCAAAATTAGTTTTTCTTAAAAAAAGAAAAAATATATAATTCTTGAACCTACAAACTTTTCATGGGTAGAGGTCAGTTATGATGAATTTATTTTTTCAACGTTTTGCATTTTAGAAAATGTTGACATGGCTGACAAGCTATGTTTTGACATGTCCTAAATGAAAAAAACGTATCTTAGTTCAAAATGATTTTTTTGTTTCAAAGTGTAATTAATTTAAAGTAAAAACCAAGAGAACAAAAGGCAAAATTAAAATGAAGCATCCAAGATATCAGAATGTTGTTCATAAACATTTCAAGATATCTACTTTTTATCCTAATTTACAAAATCTCAAATATAATCTTGGGATAAGAAAACTGTTTTCTATCAAGATTAATTTAAACTTTCCCACAATTCCTAGCTTTCCAGGTCCATGTCTTCATCTTTCTCAACAAGCCTTAATACTCATTTGTTACCATTTCATTTTATCTGGGTGGATGGTTATCTTACAAACTGTATATGATGAGCTAAGTTACTCTTGTTTTGCTATGTTCAGAACCTCGTGAACCATGATCCTTTCAATAGGATTTGGTCATGGCTTATAGTTACATTTTTTGACTGTCTAACGCCATCCGTAGTTCACAGTATATACAAGGGGAATGACTATACCTGGTGCCTGTATGAACTACACTACCCAGACACTATAGGATGGGATGAACTGTAACATTATTTCTGTCCCAGTTTATAAGGAGTCTTCAGTGTCCTCATATTAGTTTCTCCTCACTTTTGAGACCACTAAGAGGTTTCAGTGGAAAAAATCCTGCCTCCGCACAGTCTGAGGGTTGCTGGTTCAGAGTTCTCACCCTTCTCTCTTGGCCAAAGAGTCAGCTCAGCCCATGATTCATTCTTCTATGTCCCTGTGGTGCTTTTTGGAATAAGGGCTGACTCTAGTGATTTCCTTACCTCCAGCAAAATAATCGTGCTGCCCCTCCACACGGTTTATTGCTCTGACCAGACAGATCAGCAATTAAGGGAGCTGTTGCTCCCTTAAAAGCTCTAGAAATGCTGCCCCTTCAATTCTTCCCTTCCAGGCAATTGTCTGGTTTGCCTAGAGCAAGGGCTGGCTCTGTTTGGCACCCTCCACTAAAACCAGACTTCCTCAGTAGTACAGGCCACTGCCACTGTAAACCATCTCTCATCCATGCAGTCTGGTACCACCTCGAAGACAACCGCTGGCTGCTTCTTTCGTATAACAAAAACAGTGTCCATATCTTTATCTTTGTGCATTTTGGTGTTTTTGTTGATTCAGGAGCTCTTGGCCATCAGAGACGTTACCAGGGATTACTACATGGAAGTGGCTGTCATCGATCCCCACTACTGGCTTAAAGTGATCTGAAAAAGGATTATAGAAATAACTCTCTTGTTCTACTTTCATTTGTTCTGGAGTTTCTGAGCAAATGTGCTCCATTTATAAGTTAATAGATCCCCCCAGCACTTTCCACATGGTATCTGAGGCCTCCTGTCTTGCCCATTGAAGTATTAAAGGTTCTTTAGGTCACATTCTGCCCTGGGTGGTGTGTGCACAGCCCCATCCTGTCAGTCGGCCTTGCCTTGCACAGATGTAGCTGGCTGGCCCTGAAAATGCTGTTGCTGTCATAGGAATGCGGTTCCACAAGGACTTTGGCATCCAGGTCTCTCTCTGTCAGCTGTGTAGGCACCGGCAAGCTAGCAGGAACAAAGCAGCAGCAACAGCTGGTATCTCTGAGTACACTCAGGAAACTAATGTATTGGGTAAGAAAGTGCCAGGTTTATGCAACCGCCTGAGAATTTCCCTCCACAGGGACCTGTCCAGGGACTAGGTAAGCCAAGTGCTCCCATTGTGTGCTCCCAGGACATTCAGCATTTTTTTTGGTGTGGTTTTTTTACTGACTTTAGTGATCTTTAGATCAGCCCCCTGAAGCAGCTAGAGCAGCACTAGGAATCTGGGCCCACAGCTTCTAACCAGTCATGTCCTGTTGGAGGGCTGTGTAAGGCAGGTTTCGCTGTATTCCAACACAGGCTTTTGGTACTGAATTCTATCATGTTCCCTCAGCAGTGTATTGTTCCAGCAGCCTTATCTTGTTTTTCTATTTGCATCATGTAAGGTACCTGCCACAAGCAGCCCTCTACTCTGACAGGCACCCTGCTGTGCACAGTACAAGAGATCTAAATAATTCATTTTAGAAGCAAGTGTCACGGGGTGGGGCCTACGAGCGGCCATGATCCCGCTAGGCCCCCCTGCCGTGCCAATTAGGAGATCCAGCACCCTCTAATTCTCGCCCGCCACGTCTTTGATCTTAGTAGTTAAATATGGGAGGCTGCCTAGGATCTCCTATGATCTCAGGGTGACTTGGTGCACCCTAGCCTTATGGGCTATGCGTGCCTCCTACCTCCCCTTTAGTACACCCCAAGCCTTGCAGCTCTCCCGGATGTTCTTGTGTCTCCAACCTTATACTAGCCCCTCCTGGGCTTTACTCTCGTGCCCTCGCCGAGCCTGCTCTCATGCCCCTCAGCCCTCGCCGCTGAGCCTACGCGCCAGCCCTGTCTTGGGCTT